GAGAGAGAGAGAGAGAGAGAGAGAGAGAGAGAGAGAGAGAGAGAGAGAGAGAGAGAGAGAGAGAGAGAGAGAGAGAGGATTCGCACCAGTTGCCTCGTGTTCAATCATGCGAACCAGGCAGTTTAACTAGCGAGTCCAAATGCGCAGTCGCTCTTATTCGTCATTACCTGATTTGAGTCCAAGCGTGCAGTCGATTTGTGTCTCGCTCTCTTCTCTCTCTCTCTCTTATGACAAGTAGGAATTGAGGATGGTAGGACGACTAGGTGTATGATAGACTCCGAAAAGAACTACAGTGCAAGTAACCTTGAGTCAATTTTTTTGTTCGGTTTTTGGTTCGGTTTTAGGTTCGGTTTTTGGTTCGGTTCTTGATTTGTTTATTGGTTGATTAAAACTGTCTATTCTACTTTCCAAGTGTGTGAACATGTTTTCGTTTTTCTCTTACTTCCCTCACCATTACCATATGTTTGGGGGGAGAGAGAGAGGGAGAGAGAAGGAGAGAGAGAGTACTACAAAGGGTAAGAGAGATGAAGCGAGAGAGCGGGAGCAAGGGAGAGAGCAGGAGCAAGGGGGAGAGAGAGAGGGAGAGAGAGAGAGAGAGAGAGAGAGAGAGAGAGAGAGAGAGAGAGAGAGAGAGAGAGAGAGAGAGAGAGAGAGGATTCGCACCAGTCGTCTTGTGGTCAATCATGCGAACCAGACAGTCTAACTTGTGAGTCCAAACGCGCAGTTGTCGTGATTACCTGATTTGAGTCCAAGCGCGCAGTCGATTTGTGTCTCGCTCTCTTCTCTCTCTCTCTCTCTCTCACGACAAGGATGAATTGAGGATGGTAGGAGGACCAGGTGTATGATACACTCGGAAAAGAACTGCAGTGCAAGTAGCCTCAAGTCAATTTTTTGTTCGTTTTTTTGTTCGGTTCTTGAGGTTTGTTTATTGGTTGATTAAAACTGTCTATTCTACTTTCCAAGTGTGCGAACATATTTCCGTTTCTCTCTTACTTCCCTCAACATTACCATAGGTTTGGAGGAAAAAAGAGAGGAAAAAAAAAAAAAAAAAAAAAAACCTCGAGGGATGCTTAGGGAGAGGGACGGATTGAGAGAGATCATTGTATCAGACCAACCATTTAGCTCGTGACTTTGCTCAACCATTCAATCAAATACAAAATGGAAACTAGTATGAGAATCTATCTGTCAACCAAACAATGAACTCCTTGAGTCGAGCACTCAATGCCCCGTCCCTTCGGTGAATGTGGCGGTGAACTTATCGGCCTTGTCATTAGTATACCCATCAACGAGTTTACCAATCAGTTAATGCAAGAACTTGATAAATCAATCGAATGATAGAACTTTACCAATCAATCGACCAATCGGTCGTCCAATCAAATCGGTCGTCCAATGAGTTAATGCTTTATTATAGAATTTGACCAATCAAGCGATTAATCGGGCGAGACCTATCAGCCCAACCATATCAATACACCCATCAGTCGAGACCTATCAGCCCAACCATCAATACACCCATCACTTCATTCGTGACTTGACCATGAAGTTTACCTTTTATTCAGCCAATCATTAAGCGAATGAATTCAATTCACCCATCAGTCGACCTATCAGCCCAACCATCAGTACACCCATCACTTTATTCGCCCCCGGGTCATTCCGTTTACTTTTTAGTCAGCCAATGAGTTAGCAAATGAGTTAGTGAGTTTTAGGTAATTAGTTAAGCATGGTTTCGGCTAAAATTCTTCAGTCGAGACCTATCAGCCCAACCATATCAATACACCCATCAGTCGAGACCTATCAGCCTAACCATCAATACACCCATCACTTCATTCCTCACTCGACCATTCAGTTTACCTTTTATTCAGCCAATCAGTCAGCGAATGAATTCAATTCACCCATAAGTCGACCTATCAGCCCAACCATCAGTACACCCATCACTTTATTCGCCCCCGGGTCATTCCGTTTACTTGTTAGTCAGCCAATGAGTTAGCAAATGAGTTAAAATCACTTAGGTAATTAGTTAAGCATGGTTTCGGCTAAATAGTTAGCAAAGCGCTTTGTCAATGATTAGTGGGAGAGTGAAAAGAACACTAGCGAGGCCGTAACTCGTTTTTTTCACAAAGCAGTAGTACATGGAAACCTGGACCGCAACTCATTTACCATGCGCCGTTCGCTTGTTATGTACCTCCGCAGTAAAGTAGCAGCACATGGACAGCTGGACCACGGGCTTGAGACCTCAAATCGTGAAGGCACGAAACGAAACCGTGACCGTGGATGTAACTTTACAACGGCAAATGCGGTGATCGGCCTCGTTCGATAGTGGCGACAAGTTTCAGACTGCAAGGTTGGGACACTTACTGGTGGTTAAAAAAATATGTTTTGTGTGTGATACATATTCACAAATTATTTTTTTCTCAAAACGATTGAAAATTTGTCAAATACGGATAAAGTGGTTAGTTACCTGCCATCGCATAAAACAAAAAAAACAATTGAAGTTGGTACTCAATGCGGAGCCTGACTAGTACTTTTTTATATACTTTTTGTCCAGGTATTGTTACCATGGAGGGGAGGGAGGCACGCCTACTAGTAGGAGTGACAAAGAGGAAGGAGAAAGTGAGCCGAAAATTCAGAATCGGTCGTCATTTTCTTACGAAGTTCGGAGGATGCAACAGGAAGAGGAAAGCGGAGGAAGCAATAGGAAGATGGCACTGTCGTATCGACGTTCGACATGAAAATGAGGAAGAGAAAAGAACAGAAAAAAGAAGAACGCCAAACGAAAATGAAAAAAGCGAATCAATAAAAATACACCCACGAGGCAAAGTTATAGAGGAAGGAGAGTCGAAATACGAATTGAGGGGGATTCAAGTCGAAGCGGGACATGCTTACGATGAACGTCTCGAAGAAGAAAAAGATGAAAAGGAACATTCGTTTTCGTTCTTTCGTCAGAAGATTCGTGGAAAAGACCATTGTGATGAGAAGGAAAAAAATCGTAGTGAAGGAGAAGTCCATCAAGAGGGAAAGGCGGAAGGAGGGAAGGAAGGACAAGCTAGCGGGGAAGAGGGAATTGACGAAGAGGATGGAGCGAGAGATGCGAAAAACAAAAAACGTGATGATGTTGTACAAGTGGCAGAAACAAAAGAGGAAGAGGAGGATGAAGACGACGAGGAAGAGGCAGAAGCAGACTATGTCAAGGAAGAGAAAAAAAAAGAAGGTGAAGTGGAAAATGTAGAAGAGGAAGTCGGCGGAGAGAAAAATGGGGGGGGAAATGGTAATGCTAAAAAAGAGAAAGATAAGGAGGAGGAAGAAGAGGAAGAAGAAAACGAGGATGAAGAGGAAGATGATGGAAAAGAGGAAGAAGAGAACGAGGATGAAGAGGAAGATGATGAAAAAGAGGAAGAAGAGAACGAGGATAAAGAGCAAGATGATGAAAAAGAGGAAGAAGAAAACCAGGATGAAGAGGAAGATGATGAAAAAGAGGAAGAAGAGAACAAGGATGAACAGGCAGAAGCAAAAGAGGAAGAGGGAGATGAGAACGAGGATGAAGAGGAAGATGATGAAAAAGAGGAAGAGGAGGAGGATGAAGAGGTAGAAGCAAAAGAGGACGAGGAAGATGAAGATGAAGCTGAAGACGATGAGGAAGAGGCAAAAGCAGCCTATGTAGAGGAAGAGGAAAAAAAAGAAGGTGAAGTGAAAAATGTAGAAGAGGAATTCGGCGTAGAGAAAAACGAGGGGGGAAATGGTAATGATAAAAAAGAGAAAGATGAGGAGCAGGAAGAAGAGGAAGAAGAGAACAAGGATGAAGAGGAAAATGATGAAAAAAAAGAGGAAGAAGATGATGGAGAACGAGAGGAAGAGGAGGAAGAGGAGAAAAATCACAATGACGAAGGAGAGGAAGAGGGAAGAGAAGAATAAGATGGACATGAAGAAGAGAGAGAAAGTGAAGAAGGTAAGGATAAAGAGAAAGATGAGGAAAAGGAAGGTGATGGGAACGTTAAAAAAAGTGAAGAGGAGGAAGAGGACGAGGATGAAGAGGATGAAAGTGAAGAATAAGGATTCGACGTAGAATATTATTTTCGCATGAAGAATATTATAGAAACACGAACAAAGCCGAGAGGTTCGGGATCAATGATAGAATCAAGCCTAGACGGTCGTAACAAGCCCTCTCTCGACGGTGCGAGACGGTTCTCTGAGGTAGTCGGAAAAGGAGAGGATGAGAATGAAGAGAAAGATGAGGAATATAAAAAGGAAGAACCGTCTATGTATTCCGCACCACACGAAGGTGCAAATGTTTCAGCAAGCAGACAACCGATGCAAGAAAGAAGTGGGAAAAGAAAACAAAGGGAAAGAAGAATGAGGAATATAAACACGACAGATGAAAACGAATATAGCGATGATGAAAGATTTATCCCTGGTCCGGAGGATGCAAACGAAGAAGATATAATTTCTTTGTCGCCAACATCGGAAGAGGAAGACGTAAGGAAAAAAGGAACGGATGAAATGGAAGTACAACAAGAGGGCGATAGAAGTGGAGACCCTTGTCGCATGGAGGGAATCGATAATGTTGAGGATGCAGGGGTAGTCAGGGGTGCGATAAGACGAGAGAGAGGTGAGCGGTCTGCCAGAAAAGGAAATGAAAATGAGCAGGACGCTTCTGTACGATCAAGCGAAGAAGAAGAGGGAGAGGAAGGTATACAGAATGCGGATGTGGAAGATATTACGAACATAAGTCCCGACTGGGTAGATTTGAGATCTCACTTTTACGACGCAGCCAAAATCGATCAAAACAATCACGATATTGTACATGAACATTTACAATTGGATTCCGATAAATACAAATTTGACAACCGGCAGTGTGGGCTGAAAAATTTGGAAGGGATTCGAAACATGTCACCAAGAGCTGTATTTTTTAGATTGTGGCCGCAAGAAGTTTTCGACATGATTGTGAAGGAGACGAACGAGTATGCAGAAAAACGTTTAGCGACGGTGAGGAGAGCTGCGCAGAATCCTCGACCATGGCGGCCGACGGATCGTTTGGAGATGATAGCTTTTTTTTGGCTTGTCATTGCGATGGGTTTCAATCGCTTGCCCAACATGAAAGATTACTTGAAAACAGGAGCGCAGGGTGCTGTTTCTTTCACAGATTTTGGTCGGGTAATGAGCCAAACACGCTTCGAGGACGTTAAACGAATGCTTCATCTGCGTGATTCGACGGAGAGACCAGACGATAAAGGTACGAGGGCGTATCGATTGTGGCAACTTGATCCGCTGATCGATAAATTGAGGACTGCAGCACAACGGTATTTCTATCCTGAGAAGGTATTATGTTTCGACGAGAGGACGATCCCGACGAAAAATCGGTTTTGCCCAGTCAAAGTAGTAAACAAAAGAAAACCTCATCCTGAAGGTATCCAAGAGTGGAGTTTAAATGATTGAGAGACGAGATACCAGTTCGAATTTGATGTTTACGATCGTGTACACAAGCGACCGGGAGTACGTAGAGAAGAAGGTGCGAGATTAGAAACAAAGCATTTGGGCGTATTCCAGAGAGTTGTGTACGATAGAGTGGGTGCCTTGGGGAGGGGGCACATCCTTGTGATGGACCGGGCTTTTGCGGAGACCCGTTTGTTTCAACTATTGAAGACGAAGAAGGGAATTTTGGCGACCGGTCCAGTAAAGTTGCCATACCAAAGACCGACGGAAAAACCGAAAGGCAAGTGAAAAAATCCTCCTTTGCGTTTTCCGTCGAGTTTGTGGCTCGAGGAAAATGCTCCTCCAGGGTCGATGAAATGGACGCACGCGCATACGTTGCATTCTGGGATGGTTGCATGTGTGTGGAAGACGAGGTCGAATACCATACCATTTCTTTCAACGTCGCACGGGTGTCGTCCTCTCGAGGAGGACAAATGGGTGGGAGGAGAGAAGGTGGTCACCGTGAAGCCTGAATGCATTATGTTTTACTCGAAGCACATGCATGCTATGGATGCGTTCAACAAAATGTGCAACGGTAGAATAAGTTGCGAGGAGATGATGACATCAAGACGGTGGTGACCGCGATATCTATGGGGGAGGTTGGATGCAGTTGTAACAAACGCTTACATCCTCAAGAACGTAGGCGGGGGAAGTGTTCAATCGCATGAAAATTTTTGTTTGGAATTGCAAGAGGAATTGGTGGCATGCTTTTTGACTGGCACGTCGATTCCGAGGCAGTTGCGTTATGGGGATGCGAGGATCGCCGTTCCCGGCGAGGCTCAATATCCAGGAAGGTTCACGGATGCACACTATCCAGGGTTTACCATACCGGACGTGAACGGCAGACATCCGACGCTGAATTGTGTTGTTTGCACTTCGCTGTGTAAAAGAAAGTACCCTGGGTCGGTGATGCACAGGATAACACACACGTGTGCGACGTGCGCAATACCTTTGTGTATCGTACCTTGTTTTAGATTATTTCATCAATACGCTATTGATGGATATGATTATAACTATCGGGCCTCTAAGCAGCCAGAAGGTTCTGGAAAACGAAGGAGGCGATCGAGCAAAATAGATTACAATAGGCAGCTTGCTGCACCCGTCGTGCGAGGGGAGAAAATTCCAATGAATTTGGAATATAATGTGGCAAAAGGGGGTGAAGGATGGGAAAGAGTAGTCCAGGAGGAGGTATTCGAACATTCGGAGTTAGAGCATTCGGAGTGAAGTAGAAGGAAAATAAAAACCGGATGATGTTGAAATCGTGAAAGATTGTTGTGAGAACTTTGGGGCGTAGGTTGACAAAAATGTTTTGTATAATATGTACATAATAGTTGGCACATTAGGCGTAGGTAGACAAAAATGTTTTGGGGCGTAGGTAGAGCTTTCCGAGATAGAACTTTGGGGCGTAGGTAGACAAAAATGTTTTGTATAATATGTACATTATTGTTAGGAGAAGAATGGTGATTTTATTCATGTATAGTTCAGTATACTGTTTGGCGAGTGAAGGAAAAGTGAAGTAAGATATGTTGTAATGCTCAGAGATAGAATTTGCGGGCGAGAGTAGAAAAAAAATGAGAATCTCGCGATCTTTAACATTTATAGTAAAACAGAGATGTAGTTTTCGAGGGGAAATAAAAAGAAAATAAAAATCTGTCGGTCTTTAATTTTTATACTGAAAAAATGTATATGTGATTCTTGTATTTGTCCATATCGATACTTTGTACAATGTGTTATTGTATGGACAAAGAAGCTGAATTTTAGAATTTTTGTAAATTCCTGTATTATTCATTATATTGTTTGACAGGTTTACGAGTGTTCTGTAGTGGGGAGAGAATGCAGTGAAGTGAAGAAGTTGGAGGAAGGACTCGTTGACATTCATCATCAAATGATGGAGACAACAAATAAGCTTGTACAACTGAGATGTAAGATATTTGATCGATCGAGAAAGAAGTTCACAAATAACGGCGGCGAGGTGCATGCGACGGTTTGCACCAACGACGTTGACACATCTCCTACAAGAAAGGAGAAGGAAGAGAAAGTACAATTAAAAATCTTTGTAATGGCAGAAGAGATCATTGAGCTTCGTGATTAAGTGTTCGTTTTGAAAAAAGAATGGGACGAATTGGCTGTTGAGAATGACATGCTACGTTCCAGATTCCGGCGTCTTTCTTCAAACATGGCACGACAAATATGTGATAACTGTAAAGCAAAATCTGTTTCAAAAAGACCTTCTCAAACACACTCTCTCAATCCAGGATTATATCCTTCAGGAGGAGCAAGTTGTGATGAAAAGCAAATGCAAATCTCATTTAGCGCAATGCGAATTGCCGGACGAGAAAGCTAATCAGAGGTGACAGTTGATGTCTTAAAGTTTGTTTCTCTCTCTGTTTTTCTCATACACGACAATATGTTCGTCTCTCTCTCTGACTCGTTTGTTTTTCTTTTAGTTTCTCCGATACAAATCGCTACTTTTTTTTTTTTTTT